ATCCAAAAAGCTCAAAAAACAAACATCAAGCAGAAGGAACGCACATTTCCTGGCATATCATTTTTGAACTATTGAATGCAAAGAAAAAGAAGTAGTCCAAAAAAGGGAGGGGGAGGGGAGTGATATATTATGAGGAACAAAGAATTACAAATAGACTTCTTATCAGAAACCATGCAAGATAGACCACAGAAGAACAGAAAGAGAAAAGAAAAGAAAAAGTTATTTACTCAAATATGATACTCAACAAAAATATATCCATCAGGTGAAGATATTTTAGAGGTAAAGCAGAACTAAGAGGAATGATGATGGACATGGGATCATCCAAGCACTAAAGACAGTGACCAGCCTCAGCCATTACCAATCCTCAGGCTGGATGAGGTAGATTAGGACATGGTTACTGAAACACTTGGAAGAAGTCATGATCATGATAGATACAGCTGCCTTTGGGAGCGTGGCACTGAAGCCTGAGTGAAGAAACACTTGTCCTGACCTCCATTTTCTTGTCGGTGTCTATGGAGCAAGCCAAAACTGATGCCTAGCAATGCATGCTGCAGAGATAGGGCAACTTTTCAGGAGGGCTTCTGGGGAGGAAACCGAATAGCTAGCCAGCACAAAGCCTGTTTCTGACACATTTGACTTCAGGGACAGAAGCAAGGATTCAATTTCAGACTCACCTGAATCCTAAGCACTCTTCCTCCAGTATAGATCTTATTTTCATCCTGAAGCCTAGAGTTCATAGCTGGGTCTATCTTATGGCAAGTTGGCAGCAAGCACAGGAGTGTGTGTGTGTGTGTGTGTGTGTGTGTGTGTGTGTGTGTGTGTGTGTGTGTGTGTGTGTGTGTGTATGTCCTGGGCCTTGAACTCAGGGCCTGAGTGCTGTCCTCTGCCTAGGATAGCACTTTCACACCTGTGCCACAGTTACATTTCTGGCTTTTTGGTGATTAGAGACAAGAGTCTCCTGGACTTTGCTGCCCAGGTTGGCTTTGAACCATAGTCCTGAACACTATGCCTGGCTTAAGTACAGGTGCTGACTACAGAGACCAGAAAGTGCTCCGGCTCTGACAGTGTTTTAGACTGGTCAGTGATAGGTTGATGCCACCCATCACACTGACCCAGGGCCAAGGGAACTCTTGGTGTGCACAGCTTTGAAGTCTTCTTATCCACAGATGATACTGAGGCCAGCTCCTAGTTGGTGATGGTGTCCTTTGGAGCAATCACAGTCATAAAAATAGAATCTTTATTTTCCAAGCCCAAAGTCAAGATCCACAAAAGTTTAGCATCAGAGAGGCCATTCTGACATTTTCCTCACTAGCTACACAGAGTGAGTGGCTTGGGATGCAGTAGCAAGTGTGAGGAAGAAAACCTCCCCATGTGGGAAGGTACCCTTTAGCCGTTCTCTTCCAAGAGCCAAGTTCACAGCAACCAGATGAATCTTTTATGTGTTTTTTCTTTCACTCTGCTCCAAAGATGCTTGGCAAAAGCAGAATGAAGAGAAGTCAGTGGAAGGAAATAATGGAAAGCCAATCATCTGGCCGTCTCTATCCTCCCCCGCAATGCGGGCTTGGCAGCGCTACAAAGTCAACTTCAGCCATAGCCAGGCAGAGCGTCTTGGAGAGAAACTGTCAGTCTTCTTGACCCACTAGAGACTTCTGAACACAGCTTTTCCTTTAACACAGGGATGACTACAAAGGTCTTGATTTAAAACAGCATCATTTTCTTTTAGTGGAGATCCGGATGAAAGAAAACATTCTTTTTGTTATGTTATTTAAAAATGTTAATGGCTATACTTTAGTTGTACAAGGGGGAATTTCATTGTGACATTTCCAAACATACATACAAAGTATCCAGTCAACCTCACCTCCTCTATCAGTCACTTTCATACCCCACTTCTAAAACAAGTCCGATAGCTGTCATTGTTGTATCTCTTATATGTAAAGAAACTACTCTGACCATATTCATCCTCATTCACGTTCTCTGTTCACCCTCTCCTCCGGCTGACACTGCCCCTGCCCCAGCAAAGCCTTCTTTACTTCCCTGTCATTGGTTATTTTTTAGTGAGTACTAATTGCACAAGGGGTTCTATGTGGTATTTCAGACATGCATATATTTTTTGAATCACAATAATTCTACTGCTTGTCTTTCTCCACCTCCTATTCCCTTTGATCAACAGCTCCACTGAGATGCCTTATGTCATCATACATAGTTGCAATGTATTTTGAAACTATTCACCCTCAAGCACACATTCTTTTAGCTTAGACAGATCTTGATTTTGAGTGTGTATATATATATATATATATATATATATATTCTTCTACTAGTACATGATTTTAGACAAGATGCCTAGTCTTTTTGAGGCTCATTATCAGCATTTGCAAAGTGATAGTAATATTCTCTGCCCCAAAAGATAATTATGAATATGATGTTTGGTGCTTAAAGGGTGCTTAGTGAATATTAGTGAGCTTTTCTTTCCTCGTCTAGAGTTAGGGAGGGTAAAGCAAATGAAAATCTTGGTTGCTCTCTATCATCTCAAAATACATATTTACTTACATATTCATTCATTCAGTGAACATTATTGAGTACCTTCTACATGGTGGTTACTCCTCTAGACACTGAGAATATCAACAAGGTCCCTGTCCTCATGGAGGTTAGTTTACTAAATAAGAAGAGACAGACAACAGATAAACAAACAAGATAGTAGGTATAATGAAAAGAATTGAGTAAAATAATGGGATAGAAATGAGATCTGCCAACTTTAGAAATAGGTGGTCAGGGAAGGCCTCCCTGAAGTGATAGCCTTGGAAATGAAGTATGAACACTGAAAGGAACTGGCCATGCCGGCACTAGAGGGAAGAGATTTCCCTGCAAAGGGTTCTTTTGTGTTCAATCCTAAGCATAGATTGATCATGGCATGTGTGGGGAACAGATGCAGGTACAGTGAATCCCAGAAAGTACAGAGACAATAGTGAAGAAGTTAGAAAGTCAGGAAGAAGTCAGGTCACTCACTCAGCTAACCTTCATTCACCTGATTAAACATCTCTTAAATACCTGGTGATCTAAGTTCTGGACATAAAGCAGTGACCAGTTAAACTCTTTTGCCTGAGGGAATTGGCAGTCCACTGAGGACAGTCCCCTAGGATCCCAAGAGCCCAGCTGGGAAGTTCACATTCATTGTAAATACATCATCTCCCTTTTGGAGATCTACCTGGGAAGTGTTATTTTTCGTCATTTAGAAGAGGTTGTGCTGTGGAACCTGAAATACTCTCATTGAAGGTTAGGAGGAAAACAGAACTGAGTGCTGTTCTCAGGAGCCCTTTGCCAGCAAGTGTAGAGTCAGGATTCAAAGCTTAGACCATGTGGCTCTAAAGACCTTCCCCTTCTAAAGACCTATCATTCCTTCCATTTCTCACAGCGAGAAAGCATGCCAGTGCTATGTGCACGTCTATAATTAAGGTTATCACAACAATCATAACTAAATCAATGTCCCAATGTCACCGGCCATGAGATTGGGCTTGATGTAGTCACTTGAGTCTAGAAAGTGTAGATACATGCTCCCTGCAGGTCTCTACACCCTGTTGGAGCAGTTCTCAGCACAACAGAAAGTTCTGTGCAAAGGTGACCCGGGGGGCAGAGGCACTCAGGGCCCAGAGTTAGAAGGAACGCGATGGATCATCACAGGTACTGATCAAGCCGAACAGAGACCTAGGGGCATTTCTCAAGCTCTAGAAGATTCTAAAAAGAATGAATAGATGACAAAATTTTTATGAGATTGGTTGTTCTATTTGATGTTCATTTAATTAAGACATTCAGTCTTTCTAATGGAAAATGTGAGAAATAGAAATTACTGGTTTGGGTCCATCTAGTATAAAATGAAAACCGAATCTGGAAGGCACGGGGCCATTTCTTTATATTTTCTTCAGGCTCAACTTAATTATGCATTATAGGCTACCTTTGATAATAATTACAATTGTCTGCCTTGATACAAAGCCTCTTGCTGTCTTGGAGACTAACACTCTGGGGAAATACCTCCGGAGATTGTTAAAGTATCATTTAGGGAAAGCAGTTGCTTCTGCATTTGTGCATTCAACAGACACTCTTGCCCAGCTCTGTATACCTTCTGTCTGCAGAAGGTAGCGTGTGAATCAATCATGACCTCTCCTCTCCTACAGAATAGAAAAAAGGCCTTGCACACTCAACCTTGCATTCATTAATTTCTGAAGTCATTTATTTATTTCCTCCCCCTCCCCCCCAGTCCTGGGGTTTGAATTCAGGGCCTGGGCATTGTCTCTGAGGTTTTTTTTGTTCAAGGTTAGTGTTCTACTATTTGAGTTACACCTCCACTTCTGGCTTTCTGGTGGTTAATTGGAGATAAGAGGCTTGTGGACTTTCCTACCTATGCTGCTTTTGAACCACAGTCCTCAGATTGCAGCCTACTGAGTATCTAGAATTATAGACATGAGCCACCAATTCATTTCCTTCCTGTCTTTTTCTATGCCAATCCCAATGCTGAGAGCCATACCCAACCCCATTCCCCCCCACCCCTCCACCCCGACCCCCATCCCCCGAAAAACACAGTGCTGGCCGAGGCCAGAATCCAAGTGATGTGACTCCAGATTTGCAACCTGGTGCTCTGACTCCACAGATTTGTCCTGACCTGGGGTACTCTGTGTGCAGAGACACAGTATCACAATTCAGGAGAAGCATTCTAGAATAAAGCAAGGACTTCCCCCAGAATCTTCACAGGCTCCTGGACAAGACAAGGCACAATTATCCTCACCACTGTGTGGATTAGACAGGGAAGACCCAGAAAGGTAAATTGTTTCTCTGTAGCTGGATATCAGTAGGTAGAGGTCAGATCCAGAGAACTATATGCCAAGCCCCAAGCAAGGATCTAGGCGAGTCAGGGCCATCTAACCTCAAAGAGAAACTGAGTTTGCAAAACTGTGGCATGAGATAGAACATGCCAGTATTTCTGGGACTCAGTGCCATCCCTTGGTTTCCAGGTATGACAGCTTTGGCCGCCTGACGAATGTGACCTTCCCTACTGGACAAGTGAGCAGTTTCCGAAGTGACACAGACAGCTCAGTGCATGTCCAGGTAGAGACCTCCAGCAAGGATGATGTCACCATAACCACCAACCTGTCTGCCTCTGGTGCCTTCTACACATTGCTCCAAGGTAAGCCAGGTGGGATCCTGGGGATCTTGAGACACACAGGTGGGAAAGGGTACTATCCTTTGGAAACAAGCTACTACAGGGGCTACCCAAGAGCAGGAAAGAATTACTGACTGATTTCTCCCTGTATTGCCACCTAATTTGCAAAACACATGAGCCAAAGCCTTATAAATTCTCTCAGAAGCTTCAGCATAATATTTCATTGGCCCACCCCATTATCATCAGAACAAAGGGGAGAGAATCCATTAGCTGCTAAATCCAGGTGACCTCACCATTCTGCTGTTCTAATGACTCCCAGATTAAAAGACTTCCCGGCTCACACTGGTGCAGGTGAGGACAAAGGACAAGAATAATTACACCTAATTATGAAAAGGATTTGGTCATAGAAAATCCCTTCCCTAAGCCCATATGAAATTTGTTCCTCTGTCAGGATTCCACAGAAAAGAGACCCTTCTCTGCACCCATCAAGTCATCCCTACTACAGGCTGGGTTTTAGCTTCTGGTAAATAAATCACTGATGAAATCACACTGTGACTTGTGTGCCTCAAGTGTGCTCATGGAATGTGAAGACCTAGGGTAGAACTTTAGCTTCATTGGATTTAATATGCATGAAAGGAAAGCACCCATCACTGTTAGACCTGCCCAACCTTTTCCTACCATCCAGTGACTCTCTGACCTCCTGTAAGCTGTGACACCAAGTAATAAAAGGAGCTCTAGGTCAGAGCAAGAGAACAAGGCCCTACTGGCACAAAGAAAAATAATTCTAGCTAGACACTGGTGGCCCATGCCTACAATACTAGCTACTCAGAAGGCTGAGAACTGAGGATCACAGTTTGAAGCCAACCTATGCAAAAAAATTCATGAGACTCTTATCTCGAATTAACTAGCAAAAAGCCAGAAGTAGACCTGTTGGTTAAGTGGTAGAATGTCACCCTTGAGCGAAAAAGCTAAGGGACAGCACCCAGGCCCTGAATTCAAACTCTAGTACAAGAAGAGAAAAATACAACAACCACCAAAACAGAAATCCTTTATTCATCTACTCCATACTGATAAACCTGCTTTGAGTATTCTTCTCAAAGGTCAATGTTGCCTTTTTTTATATTTGGATAACTTTTTCAATTCAAAAGTGCCACACTCCTTAATTTGAAAATGTACCACCAATGTAATCATTAAGATTTTTCAGGCCGAAGGGGAAGAGATCACATTGTTCAAAATGCATATACAGATTGTAAGGCACATTCTACTTTAGGAGAAATTGAGATAAGAAAAGGAAAAGCACATCTGGAATTTAGGAAACCTGATACCTGTCTTCCCCCTTTGATACCTGGGCCAGTCTGCTTGTCTTTCTGTCTACTGGGCTTAGATGTCCCAACCCAGAAGCATCTCAGTAGAGTCTGTGAAAAGCTCTTTAGGTTTCCTCTTAAGTCTGAGCAATGGGAGGTACTAAGAAGTAGCTACTAATGAGCAACGGCCTTGGGAAGTCACAACACAAGTGAAATGGGAGCAGGTAAGACAGGCCTTTTGCAGGTACCGGTCCATCCAAAGTCAACAGTAATGGACAGAGTTGGATTCAGCGAGGAGCAGCTTTAAAAGATAAATTGATGCAGCCTTTTTTGCTCTTCAAAGGAAGTAAAACACAGATTGCCAGCGAATAATACATAGTGGCATTGAGGCAGACTTCAATGTGCGTATGAGGGAGGAAATGTGGGAAAATGAAGGGGGGAAGGAAGGGAAGGCAGCCGATTTGCCATCATTCAAGCAAGAAAAACTCCGTGACGACTTTCCCTGAAAACTGCATCCTTACCTAGACAGATACCAGAAGATATCTAGTTTAATCCAGACAGTATTTAGTGAGCACTTACAATCACTTACTTACAATTACAATATAATGATATGTTAGCATGTTTTGAATTCTTACTAGCTACAAAGTATATATTTAAGAGTGCAAAGTAGGCACTGAGCTCATGGCTTGCACTTGTTAGGCAAGTGCTCTGCCATTTGGACTATGCCACCCATTTCTTTCCGTAATGGTTATTTTCAAGGTAGGGTCTTGCTGAATGCCTGTACAGCCTGGATGATGATCTTCCTGCTTGTGCTTTCTCCTGTTGCTGAAGGTGACAGACCACTGTACCTAGCCCTAGTTACAAAGCATATTTTTTAGCATATTCACAGTCCTGTTTAATCCTCACAACAAAAGTATGAGCTCCTCATTCTTAATATCTCAATTTCCCAAATGGGAAACATTGAAAAGCTTAGCAGCTTGCCCCAAGTCACATACCTAAATGGATATAGGAATCCAGACAAGCAGGCTCAGAACTCAATCTCTTGATCATTAATCTGAAGGTAATGAAGACCATGAACAAAAATAGAACAGCTCATTGTTGGAGACAGAGAAGAGACAATAAGAAATACAGGTGATGGAGACTAGCCCTGCACCAGGCACACGTATCTAGCCAGCATTACCTAACAACTGTCTGCCAGATACTTGCTCTCAGTTCTTCACATTCATCACCTTACTTTCTCCTCAGAGAACCCCTGTGAGGCAAAGACACAGATATTATCTCAATGTACATTGAAGCAACAGAGGCAATCCAGGCTGTGAATGTGGCCAACATCTTACAATAAAACAGGGATGAAGCCCACACACTTAATCTCTGTGCAGCGGTACCTCTCCCAGTAAGCACTGAGGCATTAAAGGATATGTTCATTGACAAAATGATGACCCCACCATCCCCAGCTGCCCGCCCCTGATGAGGCCCACAGATAGCTGAGGGGAGGCATTGGTTTTGACAAAAACCAGGCTTCTGGGAAGGGATGACATTTGAGCAGAGCCCTGAAGAAAAGACTTGGATAAGCGTCTATGATAAACAGATAGAATCTGGAAACAGACACAAGGAAGGGCAAAAGAAGGAGAGTCCAGCACAAGCCCAGAGACACTGTTACCATGCTCAGAAGAGCGTTCCCTGTGCAGATGAATTGTACTTGTTTCTCCAGAAATTTCTTTTAGCTTGCAGCCCAAATTAAACTAATCAGGAAGTGGAGGTATGACTCAAGTCGCAGAATGCTAGCCTTAGCCAAAAAAGAAGGCCCACCAAGAGAGAACGAGGCCCTCAAACAGTATATTTCCTTTTAAAGACAAAATCAACAAAATAAATGAAAAGAGACGGATGAAATCAAGGGAAGGAGAATAGACAAATGAAGAGAAGAGAAAAAGGGGGGAGAATGCGTTCAAAATTCAGTGTATAGAATGGGAGTCCAAGGAAACCATAACCAATCAACTAAGTGATTTGAGAATAAACACTGAACAACAAATTAAGGAAGTAAAGAAGTTCATCCAAGATCTAAAACAAAGCTCCAACAAAATTCAGTGTATATCCTACAAAATTAAGGAAAGTGAGGGAAGGGGTATGTTGGGAAGGATGGTGAGAATGTTATAAGAAGTGACATTGATCAAAATGTATTATACTCATAAAGTGCTTTGTTGAATGCCAAGTCCTGTGTACAACTACTTAAAGATAATGAAAATATTTTTAAAGAAAATTTTAAAGGCCAGGCACCAGTGGCTTATGCCTGTAATCCTAGCTACTCAGGAGGCTAAGATCTGAGGATCACAGTTCAAAACCAGCCCAAGCAGAAAAGTCCCAGTGAGACTCTTACCTCCAATTAACTACTCAAAAACCACAAGTGGCACTGTGGCTCCAAGTAGTAGAGGGCTAGCCTTGAGCTAGAGAGCTCAGGGACAGTACCTAGACCCTGAATTCAAACTCCATAACCAACAACAACAACAACAAAAGTTGTGTGTGTGTGTGTGTGTGTGTGTGTATGTGTAAAGAGCATGAGGCCTTGAGTTCAAGTCCTAGTACTGGCACCAAAAAAATTTTAATCAGGCTTATATTTTCAAATCAGATCTATTTTTAAGCCATTGTCATATTTATGATCATGACTTGAAATGTATATATGTGTATGAGCATTCTATAACTAAAGTATTTAGAGTTTGGGGATATTTTTGTTTTATGTTTTGTTTTGTTTTGTTTCTGTCAGTTGTAAGGCTTGAACTCAGAGCCTGGGAGCTGCCCTTTAGCTTTTTTGCTCAAGGCTAGCACTCTACCATTTTGAGCCGCAGTACCACTTCCAGTTTCTTGATAATTAGTTACAGATAAGAGTTTTATACACATTGCTGCCCAGGCTGGCTTTAAACCATGATCCTCAAACCTCAGCCTCCTGAGTAGCCTTAAGAATGTCCTACACTTTGCTCTAATTTTTGTACTCTTAGGAAACTACTTTGATTAGTCTGAAATGAAGATGTTGATTTAGTCAGAGAAAAATTTTAGGTGAAATATAATTGACCTATCCTACTTTGGGAGGTAGAAGCTAGTTTAAACTCTGCTTTCTTCTTCACAACTGGAGCTCTACCACTTGAGCTATGCCTCTAGCCAGGATTTTTGCTGGCTGCTTACAAATGGAGTCTCATCCTGCCCTAGCTGTCTTTGAACCATGATCTTCAGATCTTAGCCTCCTGAGTAGCTAGGATTACAGGCTTGAACCACTTAGCACCCAACAAAATGTATATTTTTAAACGTACAACTTTTAGTATATTTGCAAAGTTATATTCCCATCAGAATTATCTAATCAGTGATCAGGAAACATCCTAAAATCTACAAATCTGTATAATATTTCCAGTGTTTTACTTTGAGTATTGGGATTATAGATAATCTCCTCTATGTATTTGCTTAAGTTTTTCTCTGTGCTAACGTATTAGATGACTTCCATAGATAGAGGAAACATATTTTTTTTAAAATCTCCACTCTATCCTCCAGCCTCATTCTTTCTGGGAACCTGTGTTCTCTCCTTCAGACCAAGTCCGGAACAGCTACTACATTGGAGCTGATGGCTCCTTGCGGCTGCTGCTAGCCAATGGCATGGAAGTGGCACTGCAGACTGAGCCACACCTGCTGGCCGGCACTGTCAATCCCACTGTGGGCAAGAGGAATGTCACACTGCCCATTGACAATGGCCTCAACCTCGTGGAGTGGAGACAGCGCAAAGAGCAGGCTCGAGGCCAGGTCACCGTCTTCGGGCGGCGGCTGCGGGTGAGCAGGGCCTTGGAGATGGTGGCACCCACAAGGCAGGGAGAGGGTTGGTGGGGAGACAGCGAGGGGAATTGGGAAGGAGAAGCTGGGTTCTAGTCTGGAAACTCTCCTTGGGACCTCAGTGTCCTTGTCTGTAAAAGGTAGGGACTAAGCCAGGGAACTCCCTGTAATGAGAAATTGTTTTCTATCCTTCCAGTTTGACTTATAGAAAGATGACTGGCCTGGGATTAGGTCTGAGTTGAATTTTCAGTTTATATTACTCCCTGAGTAAACTTGATTGAGTCATTACCGTAGAGCCTCGGTTGCATTCTCCATAAAATGCAGAAGATAAAACCAATTTTACAGGTCGCTAAAGGTTCGGAAGTAATATATAAGGCATCTCATACAGAGTCTGGCATGTAATAAGTTGGTGATCGGGGCTGGAGATAAAGTTAAATAAATGCCTAGCATACCAAAAGCCTAGGTTTGATCCCAGCATTAAAATAAAACAAAATAGCCAGGCACTGGCGGCTCACACCTGAAATCCTAGCTACTCAGGAGGCTGAGATCTGAAGATCGTGGTTCAAACCAGCCTGGGCAGGAAAGGCCATAAGACTTTTATCTCCAATAAACCACTCAGAAAACCGGAAGTGGTGTGGTATCTCAAGAGGTGGAGTGCTAACCTTGAGCTGAAGAGCTGAGGGACAGTAGCCAGGCCCAGAGTTCAAGCCCCATGTCCGACAAAAATAAAAGAAAATAAAAATAAAAGAAGACATCAGTAATAGCTATGCTTGTTGTTATTACTTATGGTGCTGGTGACTGTTATTACTATGGCTAGTATGTCCCAAATTTCATTTTAGCTCTTTGGAACCTAAGCCACATTTTCTACTCTTTCCAGATAGAGTAATCCTTCCTAAACGATAAAAATGGCCAGGCATGGAAGCACATGCCTATAATCCTAGCACTCAGAAGGTGGAGATAAGAGGAATCTTGTGTTTGAATCCAGCTTTGGGTAGATACATGAAATCTTATATAAATAAGAAAGAAAGAGAGAAGAGCGAAAGCAGGAAGGGAAGGAAGGAAAGAGGGAAAGAAGAAGGGAGGGTGAGAGGAGGGAGGGAGGAGGGAAGGAAGGAAAGAAGGGAGGGAGGGAGGGAGGGAAGGAAGGACAGAGGGAGGGAAGGAGGGAGGGAGGGAGGGAGGGAGGGAGAATCTCACTATAGTTATCATATGAGGGGATTGGCCTGGGCTCTGGCATTCTTTTCATATGGATGTCTTACATCAGGTCTTCTCTGTTTCCCTCCCATGTTTTTTGTGGGACGTGGCCTTATCCCCAGGTCTCACTGCCAACTAGCCTTTTCCCCCACTTCACAAAGCAAGCAGGCAGACAGAGGGAAAGTTGGGGAGCTAGACCTGGCTTTCTGCCCAGCACCTTGCAGGCCTCAGGTTTGCATTACCATAGAATTGAGCTAGATGTTCCCAATATCCTGAAAACCACAGGCCCATCCTCAGCATCCGCTCAGACTTGCTCCACTCCCTTCCCTTCTGCCAAGAAAATCCATTAAGCCCCTTTTCACATGAGGAGCAATCTAGATTCAGAAGGGGTTGGTTGTTTATTACTAGGCTTACAACAGACACAAAAATGTTAAATAACTGATCCTAGATCATACCCAGAAAAATCAGGCTTCCTTGTTCCCTCGGTAGCCAAGAACTCCATATCTATAGAGAGAAACATCCTTGGGTGAGTTCCCTGCGTAGGGCTTAGGCATCTTTATTCTACAGGGTCTTCATGGCCTCCCTAACCCCCTCTGAATTCTCAAAGAGCCCTGTGCACACATCTGAGGCAGTGTGCTAACTGCAAGGTTTGCCCTCAGTTGGATTCCCCTATGGCTGCGCAGGTAGCCTGGAGCAACTCCTCTGAGCCCCAGCTTCCTCCACAGACACACCATGACAAATTCAAAGCATCCAGCCCAGTGCTGTGGATCCCAAGTGCTTTAAGAAAGGGCAGTGATTAGTACTATTAGGATTTTTCTCTGCCATGTGAACTGGACCAAAAGTTTCCCAGGCTTTAATTGGTCTCTCTCCCAGCCAGAGATTGATGATGCTCTAGTCGGGTGGCCACATCTCTGCTTCCTCCCAAAATAAATGGCCACCCACAGCGGCAGCATGTGGAATTAAAATGTTAGCCGGGTGTGCCTCCCCATAATGGAGCTCATTTTTTATACAGCTGGGAACTTTTTTTAATAAAGAAAGATGTAAAATAATCTCATTGCTGCCACCGCCAAGCCCAGGAAGTATTAGGTAGTTCCCCCCAGTGATTGGCTTAATTCAATTTTATTAATTTTGCCCCAAAGGTACAGCTCTCGTCCTCTAGGGTTCTCTGGGGGATAAAGGGACAACTAGCTGGGTTACACGGTCCTGGGAAGAGCCCTGGGAGGAACTTCCAAAAGCTGTTTTTAAAGGCTCCTGTCACTTGGTAAGGCAGCTCTGTATCATCATTTGCCCTGTCTGCAAAGAACACAGCTTCAGCTACCAATGCCTTGGATTTTTCATAGGAATTGTCTGCCACACTGTTTTTGCTTCTGCAATTGTGTTTGATTACCCCAGGGAAAGCAACCTTATTATAACCAGGCCATTCACAGCTGAAGTCGTCTCCACAGCATCATTATAAATCTCTATTTTCAAAGCCTCGGAGTTTGTATGGAAAGAGGGGGAGACCCCCAAAGGTCTCCTTCCTCCAAGACTGACCACAATCATTTGCTGTCATTTAATGAAAGTCATTGCAACCATTAATCCAGTGCCTTCTATGAGCCTAACGCCACTAGATAATTGACTTACAATCCTCCAATCCCCACAAGCCTGTGATTCTACATAGAGGAAGAAACTAAGGCTTAGAGACAGGGAAACACTTGCCAAAGTTACACAGAAAGATGAAGTTGAGGCTGGAAGCTCTGCTTTAATTTCTAGGCTTCCCTTTTCCACACACACACACCACAAACTCCTTTTAAAAAGAAACAATTGCACAGGGCTCCACAGTGGTTTTCAGACCACATATGAAATTTTGCATTTGCTGTGACCTAATTATCTGCTTTCCTCTTGGATCTTCCCTTTGTCCAGCTTAACCAGTGAACTTGTGGATGAGACAGAAAATGTGCCCAAATACCACATAAAACCAGCCAGCCACTAGAGGAAGGTGGCATTATAGCACCAGAGTGCCTGGCTGGCTTTCAGGGCAGCCAGGGACTCAGGGTCAGATCCAGAAATAGCCCTCATATTGACAAAGAAATACCTTTATTAAAATGTGACTTGCTACAGCCTCTGTAGAGCCTGCATTTCTGGCTCTGAAAAGAAACTGGAAACTGGATTACATGCTGACCTCATAGCTCAAGCAGAAACTTCACAGGAGACTTCTTATCAGGAGACAGGACCACAGCTTCTAGAGCTAGGGCTGGTCCCCAGCCAGCCCATAGCCAGAGAAGACACCCCAAACAGAGAGATCCATGATCTCCCAAGATCTCCAGGAGGAAGATGAGGAGGAGGTGGAGGAGAAAGACATAAAAGAGGAGAAGGAGATGTCCCAGTAGCCAGCTAAGATGATGGAGAAGTTTTGATTATGGGTAGATGTCAGGGGATCCCCGAGAAAAGTGAACTTGCTCAGAGAACCACTGAATATCTCTTGGCTCCAAGAAGTGATGAGAATTGAGTGCATACAGTCTATCACTGCATCCTGCAACAAACACCCTCACTTCCCCAAGTTCTGGTCTTGGTTTTATATCAGGATATAGTGTCTGTTACAGAGTAGATGACTCAGACGTTTATTTGCTGGGCCTCTTGGTGACTGTGTTTGAAGAATGGAGCCAAGAGGGATCTGGATTTTTATTATTCCATATGTCTGCCTTGAAAAAAATAATCCTATTAGACTTGGGTGTAGTGAACAGGTCTATAACAACAGCTACTTGGGATGCAGAGACAGGATTATTCCAAGTTTGAGGCCAGCCTGAGCAAAAATAGTGAGATTCTCCAAAAGAAAAAATATATGAAAAGATGTGACTCAAGTGCTACAGTGCTTGCCTAGATTTCCCAAGGCCCTGAGTTCAATACACAGTACTACAATGAAGAAAAATGTGTGACCTCTTTAATCACATCTACTTTTTACTTACCATCCAGGTTGTCTATGTTCTTACCACTGTCCCATGCAATCGGCATCTTTTCCTCATTTTATGGATGTAAAGCTTCACAGAACCAGGCAGTGGTGGCTGACACCTACAATCCTAGCTACTCAGGAGGCTGAGATTTGATGATTGTGGTTTAAACTCAACCTGGGCAAGAAAGTACATGAGACTACTAAAAAAGCCAGAAACGGAGGTGTGGTTCAAGTGGTAGAGTACTAGCCTTGAACAAAACAGCTCAGCAACAGTGCCCAGATTCGAGTGCAAGCCCCAGAACTAGCACAAAAACAAAAACAAACAACAAAAAACCTTCACAGAACTGACAAGTAATATAACCTGGAATCAACACCAAGTACATTTGGCCTGAGCTTCCTCTTTTACTCAAAAGCTTCTCAGCACAATTGAGAGCTATGTGGGATTCCAGGGCCAAGCTTCCAATGTCCAACTTAACTCTCTCTTTCTACCTCTTCCCCAGGTTCACAACCGAAACCTCTTATCTCTAGATTTTGACCGTGTAACACGCACAGAGAAGATTTACGATGATCATCGAAAGTTCACCCTTCGGATCCTTTATGACCAGGCAGGGAGGCCCAGCCTCTGGTCACCTAGCAGCAGACTGAACGGCGTCAATGTAACATACTCCCGTAAGGGCCGAATTGCTGGCATCCAGAGGGGCATCATGTCTGAGAGAATGGAATATGACCAGGAGGGTCGCATCTCATCCAGGATCTTTGCTGATGGGAAGACATGGACCTACACATACTTAGAGAAGGCAGGTGTCTCTTCCTCCGCCACCACTGACCTTTCCATGTGGAAAGGTCATTACTGTGACTCAACCTATGGTCAGGGCTTGCTTGCTGACTTCTCAGACCCATGAGACACTCACTTTCCAAAAGGAAATGTAATCCTAGCTCTTGAGAGGCTATGGCAAGATGAATGTGAGCTTGAGGCCAGTCTAAATGACATAGCTAGACCTTGTCTCAAAAAAAAGAAAAAATGGAGACATTCAGGAAAACGTGCTACCAAGGGCCAAGCAGACCCAAGAAGCATCTGTAAGAGTCACAGAGATGTATAGCAGATAGAGGTGATAGAGTGGGAAAATACAGAAGACAATACAGAAGACTTGTGGGTGGAGGGGAAAAGGGGAAGGGCCGGTAGAGCTAGAGAGCAAACACTGTGGATTTGCAGAGCAGAACTAGGGGTTCTGGTCCAAGACAGTGTCTGCTCCCTGGTACAGTCCCATCATGGAGAACAGATGGAAGCCAGTGGATTTGGATCTGCAGTTGGAGGTGCCTAAACCTGAGCTTGTAGTGCTGAGAATAGGCTTAGCAGATCCCTTCTGCTCTAGGTCAGGATTCATTTCACCCCAGGCACTAGGGTGATGACCTCAGTCCTGAATAGGAAAAAACAGCAGTGTTCATGTGTGAATATATCTAAACCTGTATCTGCTGAGTATCCCGAGTCTGCACTTTATATCCCAGTTCTGGTACTCAGATTCCCACTTTGATTCCTGCTCCTGGTCATGTGCCCTAGATTCTTCCTGTACTGTGGTAAGTGTTCCATGCCTAGGCTGGGAGAGCTTCCATGTTCTAAGGGAGAGACTTTGGACGTTCTCTCACCTATTGCAAAACCAAGCTTAGGAAGGAAAGAACTCCATTAGTCCTTGCTAGAAACCAGCTTCTCCCATCTATCACAGGCCGCACCGCGTCAGAGGGAGTACATGACCCGTTATCACACAGCAAAGTCGTAAATGCCCTTCTCAGTCACACTTTAGTCACAGGGAGGCCCCTGAAGATATTCAGCAGGTAAAAGGTAAAGCCAGACTGTGTTTTAGGGAATTCCTCGCTGGAGTGAAAAGATGTTAGACTGAGAAGTTTGGAGCAAGGAAGGCTGTTACAAATACTTAAGGCTAGTGTACCTTCACCCCCTTCATCCCCCATCACAGGCAGAATTGACCAGACCTGTACTACAGGAAGGGAAAAACCATAGAGCATTCTAGGACTCAGCCTTACAGGGCCAAAAGGCTGAAAGAAAGCCCAGACAGCATATCTGTAATCTGTTGATAGCATTCTGGGTTGGAAAGCTCTGGTTGGGCATGGCTTAGGAGAACCACCATTATCCTTGGCCTTCTACTCTGATTTCTTTGAGTCTTGGGTACTTAGACCTGCCTTCTTCCTTCACACTCACTTCATCTCTAGTTTTCCTCTCCCTCCAGTCCATGATGCTGCTCCTCCACAGCCAGAAGCAGTACATGTTCGAGTTTGATGAGAATGGTCGCCTGGCGTCTGTGACAATGCCCAATGTGGCTCGGCAAACCCTGGAGACCATTCGCTCAGTGGGCTACTACAGGAACATCTACCAGCCCCCTGAGGGCAATGCCTCAGTTATCCAAGACTTCACTGAAGACGGACACCTTCTGCACACCTTCTACTTGGGCACCGGCCGCAGGGTGATTTACAAGTATGGCAAGTTGTCCAAGCTAGCTGAGACACTATATGACACAACCAAAGTAAGCTTCACCTATGACGAGACGGCTGGCATGCTGAAGACCATCAACCTGCAGAACGAGGGCTTCACCTGCACCATCCGCTACCGTCAGATCGGGCCCCTGATTGACCGGCAGATCTTCCGCTTCACAGAGGAAGGCATGGTCAATGCCCGTTTTGATTATAATTATGACAACAGCTTCCGAGTGACCAGCATGCAGGCTGTGATCAACGAGACGCCACTGCCCATCGATCTCTATCGCTATGATGACGTATCAGGCAAGACAGAGCAGTTTGGGAAATTTGGGGTCATCTACTATGATATTAACCAGATCATTACCACAGCGGTCATGACCCACACCAAGCACTTTGATGCATATGGCAGGATGAAGGAAGTGCAGTATGAGATCTTCCGCTCGCTCATGTACTGGATGACTGTCCAGTATGATAACATGGGGCGAGTAGTGAAGAAGGAATTGAAGGTAGGGCCCTATGCCAATACCACCCGCTACTCCTATGAGTATGATGTCGATGGCCAGCTGCAGGCAGTATCCATAAATGACAGGCCACTCTGGCGCTACAGTTATGACCTCAATGGGAACCTACATTTGCTGAGCCCTGGGAACAGTGCGCGGCTCACTCCAATACGGTATGATCTCCGTGATCGTATCACGAGGTTGGGTGACGTGCAATACAAGATGGATGAGGATGGCTTCCTACAGCAGCGGGGAGGGGATGTCTTTGAATACAACTCAGCCGGCCTGCTCATTAAGGCCTACAACCGGGCCAGTGGATGGAGCGTCAGGTACCGCTACGATGGCCTGGGGCGGCGGGTATCCAGCAAGAGTAGCCACAGCCATCACCTACAGTTCTTCTATGCAGATTTGACCAACCCCACCAAGGTCACCCACCTGTACAACCACTCCAGCTCTGAGATCACGTCCCTCTACTATGACCTGCAGGGACACCTCTTTGCTATGGAGCTGAGCAGTGGAGATGAGTTTTATATAGCGTGTGACAATGTTGGGACCCCACTTGCTGTCTTCAGTGGGACAGGCTTGATGATCAAGCAGATCCTGTATACGGCTTTCGGGGAGATTTACATGGACACCAACCCCAACTTCCAGATCATCATTGGCTACCATGGTGGCCTCTATGATCCATTTACCAAGCTTGTCCACATGGGCCGACGGGATTATGATGTGCTGGCTGGACGCTGGACTAGCCCAAACCACGAGCTATGGAAGCATCTGAGTAGCAGCAACCTCATGCCTTTTAATCTCTACATGTTTAAAAACAATAACCCCATCAGCAACTCTCAGGACATCAAGTGCTTCATGACAGGTGAGGATCTGGCCTCTCCCTGGAGTGGGGAGCACATTGGTGCTCTGGTTACCTGGCATGGCTTACACTTCTTTGGGGAAACTAGTATGGGGTAGCAGGGAACATAGACTATGCCTAATAGCATCATTTTCCAAAGTGTATTGCAACACTAACTCAGAGAACATTTTGAAAATAATGGTTCTGACATCAAATAAATTTGATAGGGCCACTATCATTCTCAAATTTTTATAGTACATTTCAGCTTGTGAAAGGCTCTAAGGAGTCCCCTGGTAGAAAGATCTGTTTAATATACTTACCCATTATTTCTCAAACTTATTTGATCATGAAAGCCTTTTATCACCATGAAATCCTAATATCTCACTGGATAAACTCCTTAGAACTTGGAAAGTTTTTGACATAGAAATTAAGTTGGTTATGAACTCCTAATAATTTAGGTTAAGATATCACTAAAAAAAATCCCTTTTCAATTTGTGATGATGGAATGGAAAATCTGGACTTCGGAGAGAGAAATGAGAGAGGAAAATGCACCATCTCTAAACTATGACAGGTTGAAAAAAGGTATCAGTGCTCTAAATTCCAGTTTCTTGTTCTGTAAATTGAAGTTAGAATACCTACTCTGTCTCTGATTAGGTGAATATACACATCATACCCCTTAGAGCAACCACAAAAAATAAATTTTTTTTTTTAAATTCAGGGGCCAGTGGCTCACATCTGTGATCCTAGCTATTCAGGAGACTGAGATTTGAGGATTGTAGTTCAAAGCCAGCCCATGCAGACAAATCTGAGAGACTTTTATATCCAGTTGGCCCACAAAAATCCAGAAGTAGAAGTATGACTTAAGTGGTAGAGTACCAGCCTTGAGCAGAAAAGCCAAGTGAGAATGCAAGACCCTGAGTTCAAATCCCAGTACTAGCACACATGGCGTGTGCGCGCACACACACACACACACACACACACACACACACACACAAACTGTTGCTGGGTGTTAGTGTCTCATGCCTGTAATCTTAGCTATTCAGGAAGCTGAGAACTGAGGATCAAGGTTTGAAGCTAGCCCAGGCAGATAAATTTGAGAGACTCTTATCTCCAGTTAACCACCAAAAAGCCAGAAGGCTCCAATGGTACAACACTAGCCTTGAGCAAAAATGCTCAGGAACAGTACCCAAGCTTGTGCTTCAGACACAATATGAACACACACACAAAAAATTACTTTTTTCTTTTAAACTGAAGCAGACATAGTCAAGTAATGGAGAGAAGTCAGTAATGGAGAGAAAAATGGAAGATTAAGACAATATCAAGTTGGTCAGTAGTGATGCATGCCTATAATCCTAACTGCTCAGGAAGTGGGGATTTAGAGGATTGTGGTTCTGAGCCAGCCTGGACAAAAAACATTCTTGAGACATCTTCTCAGCATGCAGCTGTCATCCCAGCTACCTAGAAAGCATAAACAGGGGCTTGCAGTCCAGGCTGGCCCAAAGAAAAAGCAAGACCCCATCTCAAAAATAACTAGAGCAAAAAGAGATGGCTCACAGAGGAAAAGAGTAGCAAAAGAAGAAAGAACACTTGGAACAAAATAGGAAACAAATGTCCACTTCATCCTATCCTGGGTGCAAGGATGGTGTGAGATACATTTCACAGCTAGCACAGGGCGCAATTCATGTGGGTTCCTTTCCTTCACCCTCTGCTCCAAAAAGTGTTTTATTGAGTAAAAAGTGTCCCATGAGTCCCAAAGGCAGGATGTCCCTCAGCAGCCACAGTTCTCCCTGCAAAGACCCATTTCTAGGTTAGTCACAGAGGACCCCTAGAGCAAACGAGGCAGTAAGGTCTGTGTAAAGCCAGCACATTTCATGAGAATCTATAGTGGGGGGGAGCGGGGTGGACCATATGCATTCCACTGTGCAAACCTAATCTTCTACAGGTCTTTTTTTCCCCCTCTGTGGAATGATCCCCTTGGCAGTTTCCTTCATCCTACACATGCCTCCATTGTGCAGCCATTGTTTTATTTTAGCCACTGGAGATAGAAAAATAATCCTGTCTCCAGGAATTCCTGCTCTAAGACATCACACAGACACATGCTGTTCAACCATGGATGGCATAGATGATTGAATAGTAGAGGAAGAGAGATTGCTCTTCCAGAGCATTCTGGGGAGATTTTATGGAACAGCCTGACCTTTGAGGCCTACTTCCAAGTGGGTGATTGAAAGAAAGGCTTTCCAGAAAGTGAGATTAGCCCATTATAAAAGGAGAGAAAGAATATAATGTGTCTAGCTCCGCTAAGTGCCCCTAAATGAAAATGGCTTCCTGGTCCCCAAACTCAACATCTGCACCCTGTTTCTGCCAGGGTAATAGGCACATTCCTTTTTCAGGGAAGAATTCCAAGCACTGTGTTGAGAGCAAGAGACCCAAGCATGAGCAAGACGGGAGAACAAGGTGGTGTGCAGGTGTGATGGAAACATGCTACTTAGGGCCTGGGGATAAACATGGATATCCTGATGGTGTTTCCCAGCATTCACCTCACTCAAGTTGGCTGCTAGGTCTAGAGAACCCTGACAGATTTAGATGACATATCCATTGCATCTGTCTGCATTAAGCACGCCCCTTGCCTCACCCTCCAGTGAGCTTCCTGTGAGACGTGTTGGCAGGTTCCTATAGCTAGAAAAGAATGTGCAAGAGGAAATACACTTTTTCCATTAAAAAATGGTTGCAGCTTGCCAAAATATTATTGTTCCCTGCCCCCTCCTTCTTTGCATATGGTCTCCTTCCAGAATAACACTGGAATGACTAACTGCTCTGTGCCAAGCACTTGCAGAGAGGGTCTGCATTAAATTTGGTGACAACCCCCGGAGATGGCCCTGAGATGAGACACATTTGAAGCTCCACATGGTGGAGAAGTCTGTGAGGAGTCTCACACATCAGAGCCCCTTGACTCTACAATGCTTCCTATGACAATTAGATTGGTCTCTGAAATCCATTTTTAACAAAGCACCTCACCACCCAACATTTTCAGCTTGCATCTCATTTCCCAGACTGTTAAATCACCAAGATTTGGGTTAGTTTTATATGCTCTATGACAGACCTGTATGCAAGGTCCAGATAAGAGTCAGGTTACTTACCTGTCTTCATGGAGCAAATGGCCCGAAGCCACTTTTCACAAATGTCTCTGGGAACCCTGCCTTCAGAAAGAGATGTCACAACTCAGTTAACACTAAAACAAAAGTAGTCTGTAAGTGTGGAGTGCTCATATTTTCTAGTTACAGGGTATATCCAGTGATGTCAAGAAGAAAAGAGCATCTTTTCCCCAAAATGACTTTCAGGACTAGAGAGATGCTCTAGTTGGTGAGGCTTGGGGCCCATGACAAAGTATGGCATAATCATTAGGGGGAGGGGGATAAAATGTCTTGTCACATGATCCACTGCTGAGTCTACTTCCCCAAAACTACATAAGTACCCCCCCAAAAGCAAAGGAAGGCAACCAAAAACTGCCCCACACAGATACATGTCCGTGCATTGCTGTACTGAATCTTCACTAGCAGCTGGTGAGGTGGGGAACATGGTGGATATGGTGACCCCCATGTCCTTTCTGGTTCTTTCTCTGCATTTCTGAGCTGCTAACTGCTTAACAGACCCATTTCTGCAGTACTTTTTCTCTTGGGCCTTCATCGTATGCAGTCATATTCACATGAAATGCCACTTTTATCTCCGTGGTGCTTGACAAAATAGACTCAGTGTTCAGTGTCCAGCTTCCATGTCATCTTCATGTGGGCTTGTCAGCTTGTCAAGGGAAAGATTTCTACCCTCCTGTGATCTTCTATTTTGTTGAAAAACTTATTCATGTCCAGGTCTCATTCCCCTTTCAGTATCTTGAGTGGGAGAATGTATGACGCAAAATCTGCTCAGCACATGAAAAGTCACTGGACCAAGGGCCTGGCCATACACCTCACCCCTCTTCCTTCTCTTCCTGTTTTAATTCTTCAGTGAGCAAACTGCTCATGGTAACACTCTGTCCCCACACCTGATATTTTATAACTAGGAACCCTAAGGAATGTGATACTGACAGCTAACCCCTTCCTACGGAGCCAGATCTTCAATCCCCGTGTAGAAACTGGAAAAGGAAGGCAGAGGAAGGAATCCAAGGCAGGAGTAGAAGCCATGGACATGCCCCAAGGCCCTAATGGCTGAAAGGAGGATGGAGAGAGGAAGAGAAGTTGTTTTCCTCAGTGAATTTTCTCTTTGCAAGTCAATGCTTCTGCTTCTCTTCCCACAGATGTCAACAGCTGGCTGCTCACCTTTGGATTCCAGCTGCACAATGTGATCCCTGGCTATCCCAAACCAGACACAGACGCCATGGAGCCATCCTATGAGCTGGTGCACACACAGATGAAAACACAGGAATGGGACAACAGCAAGGTAACTGTCCTAGGCCCAGTACAGGCCATCCCAACATTGCAGGTGGGCCGGAAAGCTTGGGCTAGTGATAGAAATGGAGGTAGCACTTCCACAGAGACTGCCAGATACAGTTTAGTAACTCATTTAGCAATCCTATTTCAGGCAGACCTGGAGACTCAGGGAGAGCAGTACTCAGACACTGAGGAGCTGCACAAAGTTTTGTTGCGTTCAGAGTCTCATGAAAATAATAAGCCTTTGCCACTAGAGGAGCAAAGGGGCAAGGAGAAGCCAGGTGCCAGGGGCTCGTTCCCATAATCTCAGGAGGCTGACATCTAAGGATTGCAGTTTGAAGCCAGTCTAGGCAGAATAGTCTGTAAGACTCATCTCTAGTTAACCACCAAAAAGCTGGACGTGAAGACGGGCTCAAGTGGTAGAACACCAGCCTTGAGTGAAAAAGCTAAGGGAGAGTGGCCTTGGACCTGAGTTCAATCCCCAATACCAGCATGTATGTGCACACACACCCAGATGCATGCACATGTGTTTGTGCACACACACACACACACACACACACACAAAGGGGTAAAGAAAGAGGGTATGTTCTAAATATGAATGTGTCATTTTCTGCACATTTAATGCACCTGGTCTTATGTGAGGTATTCCACATAAGTTAACTGAGACAAACCCCATGGTGTTACTGCCGCCTTTGGTTTGGTAGATGAGGGTTTACAATGACACACATCAAGGAAGGACCAGAGTTGAGATTCAACCAGGTTGCTCTGTTCTGAGTCATCTTGCTGAGTACAGGGTTGGCCATAGGTGCTTTCTTTTTTTTTTTTTCCTTTAAGTCCCTTTCTCTCATCTTGCTTTTATGATCCAATTTCAAAGACAGGATTATATGGCCAGAAAGATCCTTTAAAAAGAAAAATGTCTTGTCCCAGCCCTTCATTTCATGTACTCATTTCATTTCTCCTCTTCCAACCCCACCCCCACTCACAGTTGTGGACCAGAAGAGGACTCTGTGCTTGTGCTACAATCACCCTGGTGAATGTAGGGGTAAATCAAGGGGAGACCAGGCCTTCCAGGGGATTCTAGCTTAGGAGAGGCAGACTGTGGAGGAAAGCATGGTACCACGTGGCATCCTGCTGGTAACTGGAAACTCACAGCCATATTTCTTACTCCAGATTCATTCCCTTAGGCCTCAACTTATCTGTCTTCTTTCCCTAGACTCAAGAATGTGAGTCTGCACCTCAGTGCTCAAAGGTCACTCTGAGTCTTACTCTTGCAAGGTTCCCCTACACTGTATTGTAAGTCCTACTTTCTTACCTCTCCACTGAACTCTGAGCCCAACAGGTTAAAGTTAGGGATCTCATTTAGTGCTCAGTATATAGACCAGCAAATTATAGGTGCACAGGGAACTTTTGTTGGATGACTAAATGGCTGAAAAATACAAACATCCCATTTCACAGATGAGGAACCCAGGGTTCAGAGAGAAACTTAGCCAAGGAAGTGACTAAAAAAAGGTTGTAAACGTCTACCTGGCCATAAAACTTATCCTTCTCCCCCTCTCTCTTTTTCTCTCTCTTCCTATCTTCTTCCTTTTCTTTATTTCCCCCAGTATCAGAATTTGAACTCAAGGCCTTGTGCTTTATCTTGCTTATTCACTCAGATGGTGCTCTCCCACTTGAGCCATGCCTCCAACTGGTTTTGTGTTGCTGTTTGGAAATGGACTTTTCTGCCTGAATTGGCTTCAAGCCATGATCCTCCAGGTCTCAACTTCCTGAGTAGCTAAGATTACAACCATGGGATAGCTTTTTTTTTCATCACTGGGGTTTGAACTCAGAGCCTCACACTTGCTAGGCCAGCCTTCTGCCCCTTAAGCTAAGGCCCCAGTACCTGTCTGCTTTCTGCCTCCCTCTCTAGTGCCCACCACCCCTGGCCCTATCCCATGTTTCCTAACATCTGCCGTCCCCAGCAGCACAACTCTTCCCTCACCACCAGGCATGCCTTAGTCCCTGTCTTTGCCTGTTTGCCAGCCTCCCCTGTCAATGAATTATTGATTTCTGCCCTTGGCAAGCATCGGAGATCTTTGTTGTTGAGCACTCCAGCATCCGTGAAACTCTAGGAAATAATTGTTCACAGACAGGGTTCTATTAATTATACAGATGACTTAATTTCAGTGGGAGGCCTGTGGGCCTGTTTCTCAAGCCATTTCCCTGAGTTTCTGATATCACCCTGGAGCCCTTCCCTAAGCTCCCTGAGCCTTGGATGGTATGCCAAGCTAGCAAGGACCACCAGCAGCTATGTACAGGGGCAGGGGCATCCAAAGAGTATGTAGGAAGCAACTACCCGGCAGTGGCCTTCCCTGAAAGTCATATGTAATCCTGCTGCAGAGCCATAAAGCTGTAGGAGAGTTGATAGAAGTCACCACTTGCCTCTTATTTTGCATTTCTTATCAATCCTCACTCTAACATAGGCCCCCTCACCCTCCAAGTGTGAAGCTGTCCTCAACCCTGACCTTCTCCCTTTCTCCTCCACCTTCAGGCTGGGATCATTCTGTGCTTTGTTTGCCTCTCTACTATAGTAGTCCTCGGAAGAGAGTTAGAATCAGGCAGACATGGGTTTGAATGTCCACTTGGTATTAGTCGTATGACTATGAGCCAGTGATAACCTGCCTGAACTTAGTTTCCTTAGAAGCAAAAAATGGAATAACAGTACTTCCTATATAAAGTTACTGTGGCGTTCAGACCAGATGAATGGTAACTATTTAGCTGGAAGATCAAGACATGTTAGCTCCAGCTACTACTCTTTGAACATGCTGGTCCTCACTTCTGATCACCATTATTGCTGTCATATATTCACCCCCAAAATGATAAGTTCTTTAAGAACAAAGATGATAACTGACTCCCTATTCTTTCTTCAGTGCTCTTAAAAGGTCCTGGCCCAGAGCAGAGACAACTTAAACAGTTCTGAATAAAGGGGATAGGGAGAGAACAATGGATGAATGGATGAAGGATGACTGGGTTTCTGCTAGTCAGTTGCAGAGATAAGTGCTACTCTCTAATAAATATCGGTAGGTATGACGTAGGTGTTTAAGCTGACTCCAGCGTGTGTTTTTACATTCTTTTTCCCCCTGCCCATTGTCCTCTCCCATCAGTCTATCCTCGGGGTCCAATGTGAAGTGCAGAAGCAGCTCAAAGCCTTCGTCACTTTAGAACGCTTTGACCAACTTTACGGTTCCACGATCACCAGCTGCCAGCAGGCCCCAGAAACAAAGAAGTTTGCCTTTAAAGGCTCCATCTTTGGCAAGGGGGTCAAGTTTGCCTTGAAGGATGGTCGAGTGACCACAGACATCATCAGTGTGGCCAATGAGGATGGACGGAGGATTGCTACCATCTTGAACAATGCCCACTACCTAGAAAACCTGCACTTTACCATTGATGGGATGGACACCCACTACTTTGTGAAACCAGGGTCTTCAGAAAGTGATTTGGCCATCCTGGGCCTCAGTGGGGGCCAGCGAACCCTGGAGAATGGGGTCAATGTCACCGTGTCCCAGATCAACACCATGCTCAATGGCAGGACTAGACGCTACACAGACATCCAGCTGCAGTATAGGGCATTGTGCTTGAACACCCGCTACGGGACCACACTGGATGAGGAGAAGGCACGGGTGCTGGAGCTGGCCCGGCAGAGAGCCGTAAGCCAGGCTTGGGCCCGAGAACAGCAGAGACTTCGGGAAGGGGAAGAAGGCCTGCGAGCCTGGACAGAGGGGGAGAAGCAGCAGGTGCTGAACACAGGGAGGGTACAAGGCTACGATGGTTTCTTCGTGATCTCTGTTGAGCAGTACCCAGAACTGTCAGACAGCGTCAACAATATCCACTTCATGAGACAGAGTGAGATGGGCCGAAGGTGACAAGAGAGGCCAAGGCCTGGACTTCTTGCCAAAGACAGCTACACTTTTGTGGCCGCATATCTGACTGTGTTGTACTTTAAAAAAAAATCCTTTTTATAAACAAATGCAGAAAACAAACAAAAAAAAAGATACTGGTTGCATCGATAACTCATGCAACATCTTTTTTTTTTTAAAGAAAAGAAAACACAAATTTGGCCTTCACACTTTTTTTCTTTTTTTTTTTTGGCAAAGAAAACAGAAGATATTTTTTTTTCCTGTAGTGTGATAACAATGGAAACTTTATTGTCTTGTTCCCCTTTTCCCTAAGGAATTTTCCCTGTTGTTTGAGCTATGTTTCTCTTCTTTGAGGGTAACCCCTCTTCTGGGGTGTGTCCTCACCCATTCCCTAGATACCCAGTGTGATGTGAGACACGCGTGTCTGTGATGATTTGTCTCCTGTGTAACCCTTTCTTCTTAGACTGGGTCGGGCAGGAGGGAGGGTGCAGAGAGTTCATGGGCCTGTAGAGCCTCCAGACCTTGGGCTAGGCTCCCACAGACAAATGGTGGGTTTTTACTCACTGTGTTTTTGTGCCTCTAAAGGACCCCAGATGGCATCATCTTGCTCTGGAAATTTCCATGATGTCATTCAGCACCTTTGCAAGCTGCCCTAAACTCCAGTCCAAGCTTTATATTTTGAGGCTAAATGACGACCCTTCCCCTTTTGCAAACCGCGTGTAGTTGTCAGTGCCATCCCCATACTGGGATATAGAGAAGTATCTCCCAGGTCCTCTTCCCCAGTCTGGTGACATAACATCCTGGAGCAACGAGCCCCATCCTCTCCAAGAGGTGAAAGCACCCAGGATGTCTGTGATTGGTTGATCTTCCATAACGTCCCTTATCTCCTCCTCTCTCCCAAAGCCAGTTGTGAGAACCAGCACTGCATAGCAAGCCCTCCGTGGGGTACCATGTCCAGGGAAGCGATGGATGGAAGTCCTCTCCCCCATGACTCTGGATGTCTTCCTCCACTGCTCAGCTGCCAACACTAAGAAATAGGAGTGTAGAGAGAGGTGCTTGGTGGTCTTTGATCTAGGAAAGATACATAAGGAAAAAAAAAGTGTTAGCCAAAGAGATGAGTCAGAAAGTGATGAGCCAAGCATCCTTCTTACTAGCTTCTGAGTCTCCTCTGCTTCCCCTGAACAAGCTGATTCTAGAGCCTGGTTTTCAGAAAATGCCTTCTGGGAAGTTCCTATCTAAAGAAGCGTAGCCAAGTTTTCATTTAAAAGGTAAGGAGGAAAGAGCTGGTCTGATATGACCTTTCAATGTCCTATAACTCTATCAGGATCAGGAACAAAGCCTGAAACCCTGAAAGACCAGGCTAGCATTGTGCTTGTGAAAACTTCTGCCTGTGTGTCATCCAGAAGAGAATGGAGGCTTCTCCAGAGCAGGTACAGCCCACCCTGGAGGACTGCCTAAAAGAGGCAGCAGCCAGCAGGTCAGGGGAAGCAAAGAGGGCAGAAGAGGGTAACAGCAAGAGCTGGGAGCTCCTTGTCCAAGGGTTCCGTTCCTGATTCATCTGCCTAGATACCATTGCCATTACCACTCACAGGAGGCTCTGGGAGACCCGAGGGGAAGCCAACATGCTTCCTTTTGAGCTGGGCTTCTTAGAAAATGGGACTTTTATGGGTTACATTTACATTAAGTGTGGAAAATGAATTCTGAGTCTGAGCTATTCCCCATGGAAACCTTGTTGGACTGATAAGCTCATGGCACCTTTATAGCCTTACTCACAGAGTCTTCAGCATATGACACGAGGTAATACAAACCAAGAAGGTCTCTTACTGCAGGAGAATGGGAGCAACGTGTAGTCTGGATTCTGCCTGGCAGAGGGAGGCATCCGAAGCTGCTCGGGGAGGGGAGGACTTGCCTTACCGTCATCCCACTGGGATTAGAGGATGTTTCGCTAAGTGCTCTTCCTGTTTCCAAACACGTCACACTGCTAGCACAGTGTGTCCTGTGTCGCCTGTTTGTCCACTGGTTGCCCATGGCCTCTGGATCCAGAGCTCTGCTGCGTCAGAACCAATGCTCCTGGACCCACTGTACATGACCTGGCAATGGGGGCTCCCGGCTAGCTGGAGCATTCTGGGATGGGATGGGGCCTGAAGAGTACAAGTAGTTCTATCTTCAAAACAAAACAAACCAAGAAAGGCTCATGCCGCTTAAAATGTACTTATGCTATAAGGTCCCTAGGACAGTGCCCTCCTGCCAGATGGCCTAGTTGATAAGTCCCATCATGGATTCCCTACTGGGAACACCCACCTGGAGGTCAGAGATAGTGTGGTCCCAGAAAACCATCTCCTCGTGCTTTCCCAGCCAGTATGTCCTTTCTCCTCTGCTCTCCTCCCCAAAAAAGAATAGATTTTTTTTAAGGAATCAAAAAGCACAGATACTACTGAATGTTCCTTTCTTTAAAGGAATGATCCTATATTTTACCTTGGGCTACATACTTCCCATCCTTACCTCCCAAAGAAAGCCTAGATTCTGTCAAGGAGAAAGGGTAAAAGCATCACCAGGCTCTAGAGAAGGAACTTCCAGCTCTAAAATAGGCAATGTTGTGACACGCTTGTCAAACTAAGTGTGTCTTGTTGGGCAGGCACTCTGGCCTTGGTCCTCTGGTGCTGGTTTCATTAAGTTGGCAGATGATTGAGTGACTCCTCTCTCAGTCTGTCCTGTGGAGACCAGCAGCCCTAATCCATGGCAAAGGTGAGTTTGAAGACATCAGAGTTCCCTGTACCTACGTAGTGGGCTCGAAGCATTAGATCTCATCCTTACTCATACTGGCCCTTTTGGCACTAATAAAAAGCTGGGCTAGGAATACGACTTAGTGGTAGAGTGCTTGCCTTACATGCATGAAGCCCTGGGTTTGGTTCCTCAGTACCACATACACAGAAAAAGCTAGAACTGGTGCTGTGGCTCCATTGGTAGAGTGCTAGCCTTGAGCAAAAAGAGGCTCAAGGATAGTGCTCAGGCCCAAAGTTCAAGCCCAGGACTGGCAAAAAAAAATCTGCCCATTTGTTAACAGTGGCCATGGCCCATGTACACAATTCTGTAGGACATCGCTTCTGATCCTAGAAAGTTTCTTTGAGAATAGATCCTGCCTTCTCAGCTGCCAGACATTCTCCTCATCCTCAGCCCCTCTCACCCTAGCTGAAGTAAGACTTTATTGATCTCCCCCCACCAACTTTGACCCGTTGAACAGAAATTGCTGGAGGGCAGAACGTTATTAAGAAGGGACTTCTTGGGGGAAAAAAAAACATATCTTTGACAGTCTCTGACACTTGGCTCAGATTCACTGTCTGAGAACTAGCTCAAGGACCACACTCATGCCTGACTCTACTTAGGGATGGAACATTTGAAATCTAGGAAACCACCTGAAGGTTGAAACTGGCCAGAAGGTATTGTCCTAGATAATTAGGAACGGCAGGGGTTGGGAGCAGAAGATGATGGGAAGGGAAGGAAACTGGGCTTTAGAGATAAAGGAATACAACTTCAACAAAAGAAGAAGAAGAAGAAAGGGCCTTTACAGCTGTGACTGTGTCATCTTTAGAGATGGCAGAGATTTTCATTATGCAATGACAAGGCTTTCTGTGTGTCATCTTAGAAGGTGGGTTTTTTTTTTTTTTTTATCATTTGCAGCCTTATATTTTGTAGTCACCACTTGGTGGCAGTATGATACTGAGCTCTGCCTACAAGGATGGGCTCCCTGGTCCTCAGTAAGTGCCCTAGGCTTTGGGGTCTGTCTGATCACCCAATGCACAAAGCCAGCTCTGTTGTTCCTTACAGTAACCACTAAGCCCAGGAGATGGCTCCTGGTTCAGGGGGACCCAGAAAAAAGCCCAATGTCTTCTTTCCCTTGGGATCCTCACTAGGACTAAAAACCTTCCCCTTGTAAGGTACACCATTCCCAGCCAGGCGTAAACAGTTGTCTATATTTTGTTGAAGACGAGGGAATTTTTTTTTTATAAAAAGAAAGAACTGTATGGTTCAAAGCCCTTTTATTTAACCTTCCACCACTACAGACTCATTTTAAAGACTCATTGCTCAGGTGACAGAGAGAAACTTTATCCTTTCCAACCTTTACATTCTCGAAAACCAGCCTTGTGTACTTGACTGCCTGGAACAGTGGTGCGCTCTGAGATTTCACCGCAGATGTGGACGACCAGGTATCAGGGGTTCCCTTGTGTTTCGTAACCCTCCGAGGAATGCCAAAAGCATGAGACAGGGCAACCTCCTGGTCCCCAAGAAGATGTGATGGATTCTGAAGGCACACAGCCAAGGAAGGACTGACCTGTGGGCACACTCAGCTCTTGCGGCCGAAGCTGAGCCACAGGTGTCTGCGGCACCCCACGAACCCCCTGATTCACCCACCACCAGGACCCCACTGTTCTAAATGCGCCTGTTGTTCTGAGGACTTCTGAACCTACCGTTTCTGCAGAAGGACTTGTCCCGAGCTGTCTCTGGACACAACCAACACTGGAGACTCTGGCCTTACCATGTGGAAATTGTTTTCCTGAAGTCTGGAACTAATTTTGAGAAGTTTTTTTCTCAACACTTTGGTGTTTCTAACACTGTATTCTTGACTGTGTAAATACCATCAAGGCTGTAAATAGATGCAGATGTAGATACCTTCTAGAAACCATAAAAACAAAACCAGAAGTGATCCTGTGTAGCCTTCGTTGACAAATAAAGACTATTTTGTGTTTAAAGGTGTTGGGTGGTCTTTGTTAGATGACTGGCTATTATCAGGATGACCTGGAGAAAGACTCAGGCCTTGGATTGGGGTTCCCTTACCAGCCTCCAGCTCACAGCATCAGGGAAAAACACTTTCAGTGAGACTCAGAGGCCTCACATTACAAGAAGCTAGGGTCGATGTCAAAGTACCTCTCATCTCAGCTAGGACCCAGCATCCTGTTCTTATCCTGCCCTTTGCTGGTCTTAGGGACAGACTTCAAGGAGCAAGAAAGCTGAACCCTACATGGAGGTGAGGACCCATACTCAGCATGTACACAGCGTGTACACAGCTCTGTGTAAATAAATACATGCAAGTGCATCACACATGTCATTGCAGCCACAAAACACGGCTTGAGAAAGGAAGAGCATTTTCCTTAGCATGAAGGATTCTGCCCTCCCACCCTCCTATAGTGTCTCCTTTTTTTCCTTTCTTTTTTAATTCTGTGGTCGTTTACAATCACAGCACACAAGTAGTTTCTCACCCTGCTTTTCTCCCTTAACCTCATGGTTTAACCCATCAGC